GTAGCGAAGCAGCAGCAGCTCAACCACATCGACTGCTGCATGGCCAGTGCGTCCTAAACCCTAAACCCTAGGCTGTAAAAGTAGCAGCAGCAGCAACAGCAGCAGCGATGCAGAGTATGTGCAGTCTGGTAGCTGGGCTCTGCAGCTATTTCAGCAAGAAACGAGGGTTTAGGGTTTAGGGTTTAGGGTTTAGGGTTTGTTGCAGTGTGGGGCCTAGCAACGGCTGGGGTCGATGATAAAGGTTTTCTTTCTGCTGCAGCAGATCACCTCTTAAAAATATGCGAAAAGTAGGGTTTAGGGTTTAGGGTTTAGGGTTTAGGGTTTAGGGTTTATTTCCGTTTGTTTATGCTGCTGCTGCTGTTGTTGCTGCTGCTGCTGCTACATCTGTTTCTGCTGCTACAATTGCTGCTGCTGCTGCTGCTGCTGCTGCAGTTCCTGCTGTTGCTTTGCTGCTTCTGATTGTGCTGCATCTACCATCCCTGCTGCTGTTGCTGCTGTTGCTGCTGCTTCTGTTGCTGCTGCTGCTGCTGCATGCGTTTGTCCTCCTCCTCCTACTACCACTGTTGCTGCTGTTGCTGCTGCTGCTGCTGCTGCTGCAGGCGTGCTGTATCCCCGCGTTACTTGTCTCCTTTGCTGCTGTCTTTCTCTCGTTTTTCTTTTTCTTCTGCTGCTGTTTTTTCTTTGTTTTCTTTTCTCTTTAATAGCATCGAACGCATGCAGCCCCAAGACATCTTCACTGCATGCACAGGTAAATAAAATAAATTAATTATAATATTCCTGCTGCTGCTGCTGCTGCTGTTGCTGCTCTCGCTGCTGCTGTTCTTGCAACGCTTGCTGCTGCTGCAGCTGCTCTTGCAGCTGCTGTTGCAGCTGCTGCTGCTGCTGCTGTCACTGCTGCTGTTGCTGTTCCTGCTGCTGTTGCTGTTGGTGCAGCTGCTGCTGCTGTTGCTGCTGCTGTCGCTGCTGCTGCTGCTGCTTCTGCTGCTGCTGGTGCTGCTGCTGTTGCCGCTGGTACCGCCGGTGCTGCTGTCGCTGCTGCTGCTGCTGCTGCTGCTGCTGCTGGTTCTGTTGTTGTTGCTTTTGCTGCAACAACTGCTGCTGCAACAGTTGCTGCTGCTGTTTCTGCTGCTGTTGCTGCTGCAGCTGCTGCTCGGCTAGGCTTGTCTGGGGAGCAGCACCGCATACTCAGCAGTTTGTTGTCTGTAAGGATTAAACTTTTATTGTGTTTCTTTTGTTTCTT